AAAAAAAAAAAGGAAAAAAGATTCGAGTACTAACTTTACGTCCTCGCTTTGAGTGTTTTACGACAGCTTCGGTCGCGTTTACGTCACCGTAAACCGCAATGGACTAGCTGAGAATAATGATATGAGATAACTGAACACTGTAACGCTACTTTACTGAATTCTGTCCACCTGAGGCCGTCGAATCCCGATAAAGTTAAACATTTCCCATTGAGCGGCCTTTGTCTCCGCGCCACGGCTAAATAAATAGTTTTATTGATTCTCAGTGTCCTTCTGTGAGGCGAGAAAGCGACGAGAGCCAGTGGAAGAAGAATTGCTTTTAGCCAGTCATTGCCATGGCCTCCGAAAGCGGCGACAGCAACATGGACAGAGAGATGATTCTGGCCGACTTTCAGGTGTGTCTCCTTCTTCTGTGCCTAATATTATGCTCGGTAACGTGTCGGCGGTGGGTGAAGTGCTCCGGGCTGATGTCAACAACAGCACACACGACCTGGCCGCCGTCGTAAACAGCAGCTTTCTGAGGCTAGCACAGCGAGCTAACACACTGACAGCTCGCTAACCTGACTCTGAACACACTTACTAGCTGCGTGCTCGCTAACTAGACAGCGGCTCCCCAAAGCTGCCGACGCAGACTGCGGAGCGTTTTGTGTTTTTCGCCGGTTTCGAGTTTCCCTGCTCGACACACGGTTAGCTAACGCGGAGCTACGACGACGCTCCCGGTGACTGTCAGCTTGTTTACACGTCGCCTGTTGTTTTGTTTCACAGCCTCGTTAGGAACCGTGTCACCCTCGAAGACAGCAGCCTCTCTAACCCAGTTTGCAGTTCAGTTGAGACGTTAATCTCTTCCAAACTGGCAGTAGTGAAGCATGCTGTTTATTTTATCAGCGCTAAAACAAAATGTTCTCCTAATGAACTGCAGGCCTTCTCTGTGGTGCCTCCTCCAGTGTTGTTGTCGCTTCGTGTTTTCAACCAGCAGCTTCACTTTAATCATGTTTGACAAGAGAGTTAACCAGCACTGAGGTGTGTGTTTTCCACTGTTTGATCTGAGGGGAATTTGGATGTTTATTAGGGCTGAACAACTTCTGATCTGACTTCCACATTCACTGTGCAGTAGATTTAAATATGACAGACTATTATCTAGTGAGGACACAGCAGAAAGAGGATGGCATGAATTTGTAAAAAAACATTGCCATGACAGCTTAAACCCAGACGTGCTGAATAATATATGAGGTGTGGCTGTTAAATAATAAGACTTGTTTGACGACAGATTTAGTCGGATTTAAGGTTGGCGAGGTAACGTCAGATTAAACTGTGGCTGTCAGGACCACACTCAGACTAACACTGAACATGGACCAACTTCAAGATAACAGATCAATAAAAACCATAGCCTACTGATCACATAAAATCACCGTTCCTGGAGGATCCCTGGAGCTCAGTGCACAGACAGTAAGAGGGGAAGGTCAGCGTTTATAGAGATGCATGCAGTTTCAAGGCCATTGTTTTATAAGCATCATACATTTTTCAGATGGGGCAACTGGAAATCTTGTGGTGGCAAATAAAAGCCAGAAACCATAACTGAATTTGAAGAATTGTATTTGTAGTGTAGCGGCTAAGCTGTGTCAGTAGGAGAATTAAGAAATCGCACACTGACGTTTTGTGGTTTCTTATTTAACTGTGATGTGCATAGACTATTTCAGAAACAGTTAATATTATAATTAATGGTCATATCTTTATTTATACAGCACATTTCAAAATCCAAGTTAGACAGGGCTTCACAAAATATCAAAATAAAACAGATATGAAAT